ACAGACTGGGGGGCACTGGGGACGGGCTGGGGGGCACTGGGAACGGACTGGGGGGCACTGGGGACGGGCTGGGGGGCACTGGGAACGGACTGGGGGGCACTGGGCTATCCTGAGGCTTGTCTGGAGGCTGCAGGGCCACACTAGGACCAGACCAGGAGGCACTGGGGCCAGCTACAGCTAGACTGGGGAGTGTACTGGGAGGCACTGGGTCATGCTGGGAGGGGTCACTGGACTTTGCCATTTCTATACTGGTAGCCACTGGGCTGTGCTGGTTCTGTTCTGGGGGCTACTGGGCTGTGCTGGGGGTCACTCAGACTGTACTGGTGACTCTGGGCTGTGCTGGTGCTTATTCTTGGTCCATACTGGGAGGTGCTGGGGGCCACTGGGCTCTACTGGGGGCCACTGGGCTCTACTGGGGGCCACTGGACTTTGCTGGGGAAGGTTCTGAGCTCTCTTGGGCCAGTTTGGGCATGGCTGGAGCACCTGGGAGGACCCTGGGCCGTACTGGGAGGACACTGACCGTCCTCCTCCTCCACAGGACGCTGGGGCTGCAGCGCCCGGCCTTAATCAGCATCTTCAGGGCCTTCCTCCTGCTCTTCCTCGCCGGCCACATCTCCTACCTGAGCCTCGTGCGCTTCGACTACGGCTACAACCTGGTGGCCAACGCCGCTGCTGGTGAGCTGGGAGGCACTGGGATGGACTGGGAGGCACTGGAGCTGCGCTGGGAGCTACTGAAGCCAGGCTGGGGAGTGCTGGGCTGTACTGGAAGCCACTGGGCTGTACTGGGGCTGTGTCAGGGGTGCTTTCCCCATCCCTGAGACCATCTCTGAGCCCCCATTTTCCCAGGAATGCTGACCAGGGGTTTGGGTATCCCCCTGTCTCTGAATCCTCACGTTTTCCCAGGGGTGCTGACCATGGAGTTGGGTATCCCCATGTCCCTGAGCTCCCCATTTTCCCAGGAATGCCGACAGCTTTTGGGCACACCCCTGTCCCTGATCCCCGCCCTGTTTTCCCATGAATTCTGACCGGGGTTTCCTTTCCCCCCCGGGCACCCCTGAGCCCCCGGTGCCGTTTTCCCAGGAATGCTGACGGTGGCGTGGTGGCTGCGGTGGTGCCTGCGGCAGGGCCGGCGCCTCCCGCACGTGTGGAAATGCGCGGCCGCGGTGCTGCTGCTCCAGGCGCTGGCGCTGCTCGAGCTCCTCGACTTCCCTCCCCTGCTCTGGGTGCTGGACGCCCACGCGCTCTGGCACATCGGGACCATCCCCCTCAACGTGCTCTTCTACAGGTCAGAGACCCCCCCCTCCCCATTTCAAACAGGGGTGAGGGGCTCCCCGTGTTCCCCAGGGGGGTTTGGGGGGGTTCTGCTGTGCTCTGGGGGTGAGGGGAGTGGGGTGTTTGGGACCCTGCTGGATCGCTGGGGGACTGAAAACAGAGTGCTTGGGGCCTCCCTCAATTTTCTATAGGGTGCTGGGAGTCTCACCCTTGAAATTGGGGTGCTGAGATCCATGGGGTGCTGGAAGTGTCACCCTTGAAATCAGAGTTCTGGGTACCCCCCTGTTAAAATTCAGGTGCTCAGGGTCCCCCTCAGTTTTCCACGGGGTGCTGGGAGCCTCACCCTTGAGATTGAGGCCCCCCCTTCTTGCTGGAGGGGTCCCTCTGCTGCTCCCCATGAGCCCCGGGGTTGCTGTGCTCAGTGTTGGGTTCAGGGCTCCCCCAATCCCCCCCTTCCCACCCGGCTCAGCCAGCCAGGGGGGGTCTGCAGCTCTGAGCCTCCCCCTCAGCCCCCCTCGTCCCCCCAGTTTCCTGATGGACGACAGCCTCTACCTCCTGAAGGCCAACTCCGACCTCTTCAAAGTGGACTAGAGCTGCTGGGGGGGTGTGGAGGGCAAAACCCCTCGTGCCCCCCCAGGGCCGTGCCCTGCCCTGTGCCAAGCGACCTCCCGGCCCCCCCCGGCCACAGCCTCCTGCCCCCCCCGGTTGCCTTCTGAGGTTTGTTTTTCTCCCCCGACCCCCGTGCCCCCCCATCTCCCCAGGGGGGTGGGAACCCCCCCACTGCTGGGCACAGAGGGGTCAAGGAGAGCTGAGACCCCCCCCCCAAACCCTCCCCGTGCTGAGCTGGGGACCCCCAGGAGGTGACAGTGGCTGCTGGGGCTCGCGGTGTAGGGGACACGTGGGTGATTGGGGGGGTCAGTGTGCATGGGGGGCTCTGCTGGGTGGCTCTGGCAGGGGTGGGGGGTGTTGTGTGGGTGCCTTGGGGCTGGGTGTGCCCCCTCCCGGCCCAGTGGGGCTGTGCCCCCCCATTCCCCCTCCCCGGGTGTGCTGTGGGATGTGAATAAAGCTGAGTTGAATCTGTGCAGTGCTGGGTACTTGTCCCCTCCCCGTGTCCCCTCCCCATGTCCCCTCCCTGCCCCAAGGGCACCCTGTGCCCTCCCCACACCCCAGTGTACCCCATTCCCTTTTCCTGTCACCCCACAGTGCACCCACTGTCTTGCACCCCATTTCCCACCCTGTTTTCACCCTGTGCCCCCTCCCAACATCCCCCTGTGTACCCCATATCCCCCCACCTCAATTCCCCCACTCACCCCATACCCACCCTGCACCCCATTTCCCACCCTGCTTTCACTCTGTCCCACCCCATGTGCCCCAAACCCCCTCAGCATACCCCATATCCCCCACCCACCCCATACCTGCCCTGCACCCCCTTTCCCACCCTGTTCTCGCTCCCTCTGCCCCCATTTGTGCCCCGTATCCCCCCTGCTGTGAACCCACCCACCCATCCCATCCTCCCCCTGCCCTGCACCCCACTCCCACCCTGCTCTCACCCCATTCCCCCTCCCTGCGCCCCCTTTCCCCCCCCCCAGATCTCCCCACACCCCTCAGCGCCTCCATCCTCTGCCACAACCTCAACCTTTATTGTCACCGACCCCGCAACCAGCCAGGGGAGCCGGAGCCGATTCCAGCCCGCCTCACCCGACCTTTGGGCTGCCGGGCAGGCTGGGATTTCCCGGCATTTCCCGGGAATTCCCTTCAGGATTCCAGCGGTTTCTGCGCGTGGGCGAAGAACACTCCATCCACATCGTCCACGCCGGTGCGGAGCGCGGGGGGCATCGCGTAACTCCGCAGCTCCCGCAGCGCGAAGCCGGCGGCCGCCAGCGCCTCCCGCACGTCCGATTCCTCCAGCGGCACCACGGGCAGGCGAGCGGGGCCCGCCAGGTAGAAGGACTCGCCCAGGGCTCCCAAGAGCACGGCGTGGCCCCCCGGGCGCAGCAGGTTGCCCACGTGGGCCAGCGCCCGCACGAAGGCGGCGCGGTCGGGGCTCACGGCCTCCAGGCAGAAGGCGGAGAGCAGCGCATCGGCCGGGGGGCGCAGCGGGGCCCCCAGAGGCTCCGGGCGGTGAACGTCGATGGGCAGGATCCGCCGGAGCCGCTGCCGGAGGCGCCGCTCCTTGTCCTGCCACGGCTCCCTGAGGGGCGGGGGGGGGGAAGGGGGGGGGGATGGGGGCCTGGGGGGGGTGGGGG